GTACACATAGACAGTGTCTCCTTGATACAGTGTCAATGTATTTTTTCTTTTAATGTTTGGTTTCCCTTGTCCAATTTCCATACCCTTCAAGGGTTGTGAAAATATCAGTTTTTCAGCTCCAACATCCTTATATACATGGAGAAGTTGGCTTGTAACAAAACAGAAACGTTCTTTCCATTTCGGTTCTCCATTAACAGGACTTAAAATATTCACAAGCCCTTAAAAAATGCCAAAACAATATAAATATTATTCAAAAATATAATATTGGTAATAAGATGTCTCTGGATCCATCCCTGTTGCTCAGCTATGTATTGCTCAGGCCCATAATAAGGGGGTGTCTATGGTTTAGCTGAATACCCTTTAGAATGAGCTTCCTACTGATCACCTAAACTATTTGCTTTAAAACCATAAAAGTGATGATAAAATTCACCATTTAAGAACATCACAGCACCAAGATGATACCTTGCTCTCTGGTACTCATATGGAAACCCTTAAGAACTCCTATTGCAGGCTTGCTCACACACCAGTACTCAGGGTTCAACAACTAAGTATGCATTTATATGATAACAAATTTATAGTGCCTTGCTTAAAGCCCCATTCCCGGCAAAATTTCAATTTTTAAGAAAAATCTAATTTTTGTATAATCTTATAAAGATTTATAAATATAATACGGAATTGCTAGTTTAACTGAATTTAGACATTCCTAAGAGTGAAAAAAATGTAAAATAAGACTGAAATTTGATTTTTTGTGTTCCACACAAAAAATAAATGCGGATGAATTTTTCATTTTGATTTTGCGATAGGTCGTGAGAAAAAATAACGTAGGCGCCGAAAACATTAGCCTATCCAGCGCTGCTAGGCTAGGCCTAGCCTTACCTCGATTTAGGTTCTGTTATCACACATAAAAACGGCCGAAATGATATTTTCCGTTGCTAGTATTGACACTTGTGAAATATAATATTTCATAGGAATTATTTCAAATTTGTTAAAAAACTGATTCTGACTGAGATTTTGACACTTAAACAAACATATCTCAGCCAAACCGAACGACCGCATTGTGCGAGATGCGAAGTACAAAACCTAATCTCATTAGAGAGGGCGCACTTTATTGACTGTATAAAGTACTGTATACATAAAAGCGAGAGTATTCCAGTGGATGCGATCTACAACCTCTGAATTTGCCTAGTAACGATGAATTCGTCGAGAAAATGGTAATATTTTATGAGAAATAGTGTAGTCTGTATTTCTCATTTTTTTTATTCTTTTGCGTAAAACTAAAATTCATGCCAATATTTTTCCATGATTTATAATAATTGGAGTAATGCAAATGCATATTTTCTAAAAAAAGTCAATTTTTAGTGAAATTTTGCCGGGAATGGGGCTTTAAGAAAACAAACATCAATAACATGTGTTGACATGCAAATAAATGAGTAGCAGTTTTCACCTGCAAGGTTCCCTTCTTTGTCCTCACTTAACTGTATTGGCACAGGTTTGGATCTCCTTTTGACTAAGTTGGATATCTTGATTTTACCTGTGATATCAACAACATTAACAAAATAATAATAATAATAATACAGTAATAATAATAATAACAATATTAATAATAGTAATAATAATATTAATAATAATAACAACAATAATAATAATAATAATAATAATAATAATAATAATATAATAACAATAATATAATAATAATAATAATAATAAAATAATAACGTAATAATAGTAATAATATTAATAATATTAATAATAATAATAATAATAATAATAATAACAATAATAATAATAATTTTAATAATAATAATAATAATAATAAAATAATATTTACTAGAGCTTTACTATTAAGCTGACGCCCACATTAGAAACAGTGCATCAAACTATAAGACCAAAATTATGATAATGTAGGTGACAACTGTGATGACAATGGTGGAGATGATCATGGTGATAATCGTAATGTTGACTATGATTATCACAATGATAATGATGGTACAGTGATGTAGACAATGATGATGACAATAATGATAATATTCATGATGACGAAATGGATGAAGATGGTCAATGCTATTCTACAGTTACAGTATATCTAATTTTACCTAAGTTTACAGTTTACAGTATATCTAATAAGGCCCTATAAAAAATATTATTAGTTTATCACCCTATCTGGGCAGGAAAAGTGATGAGGGAGGGAGGTTTTTTATTTTTTTTTTTTATTTTGCTAAAGCCACATATCACCCTTGGCTTGGGTTGTTTGCTGGTGCAGTGATATTCAAAGTAAAACATGATTTAGATAAGCCAAACAATATCTACTAACTATTTAATAAAATAAATTAAAAAAATAAATTAAAAAAATTAAAAAAAAAAATTTTTTTCCCCCAGTCCAGTACCATAAAAGACATGCGCGCGAGGGTGATAAACTAATAATTTTTTTTATTGGGCCTAATACATTGAAAGAAAAAAATGAATTTGTCAGTAAACCTTTTAATGTACTGTCTGACTGCTCCACTGGTGGACTGTGTGGATCTTTGTTATAAGTCGGAATGTTGTCTGCATTTGTTGATTCTTCTTGTAGGACCTATAAAAAAAATTAAAATTATTTATTCTTTTCTTGATACTGATTCACTGGTACAAAAAGAAACTTTTATATAATAGCAGTAACTACAGGTCCAGAGTAAAAATCTGGAAACTGGCGAGCAACTCATTTTATTTGGAAATACACAGCAATACAACAGAATTGAACCCATGACTTTAAAATTATTGAAAACTCAAATCATGACCACCAACAAAGCATTAGTACTATTCTATGGGTACCCAAACTCCCAGTTTTTAAGAAGATTAAAGTAAATATACCTTTATCCATGTTTCTAAGTTTTCCCTAGTGGTGGTTGCAAAGTTTTGTGTGGATTGTCCCTGATGCTGAATTCCAAACACGTGTTCGTACTTGCTCTCCGGTCCCTGTTCTGTGATATTATACCCGAAGAGAGTCAGGTTTTTTGACGGCGTTTTATCCAATGGTTTGTTATAAAGACTTAAAAGTCCTTTGTACACAATACAGTACTTTATACTCCACTTTCCTAGAGAAATTCTTGATAACGTTCCAGAATATGTTTTGAAAGACAGGATTCCAGAGTGTATGATGTATGGGTCATTTTCACATCGCGTTTTAAACTGTTCTGCTTTTGTGTTCCTTGATTGTTTAAGGGGTTTGGATTTTTCGGGCAATGATGGGGCACTGTAATCAGAAAAGGAAAAAAAATGAATTACCTGTTTAGAGATCCTGTCTTGTTTTTTCAAGTGCAATTGGGAAATGATGGGGCACTGTCATCAGAAAAGTGCTTAAGATGAGGGCGTACACTATTAAAACGCAAGTGCGTATAGCAGTATGATTTAGCCATTCAAGAAATGGAGAGATTGAATATAACATCTTTATATAGGGAATTGCACTAAAATACGAGACGTAACAGACCTAAAGTGAGTATACTCCAACAAAAACTTAAATGTGTTTTTTAAAAATATCATTAAATATTTATTTTTAAACAGAACAATTATAAAAACAATTACACAATTTCTAAATAGGACATAAGCCTAAATGGCTTGGCTTCACAACACCTGAAACAAAGTGAGAGCTTCTAGTTCTACTGCACAGTAGAAACTGTACATGCAGTATCGAAATGTCTAAACTCTTTACCATTAACATAATTTCACTGCAATATGCTGAAGTTTGTTGTACACTCTCAACATCAGTATCCATCCATTCCTTTCATTTTGTATTAAAAATGTCAGGAAATCATTAAAGCATGCTTGTATTTAATATTAACAATTTATAAAAAAAAATTATTAAAAAACTGGTATTTGGTGGAATTGTGATGGAAAATATTAGTGACAAGTTTATAATACGCATTGTAATATGGCAATTAAAAATATATAATGCAGGCTACAGTAAGAAAACCGGACAGTCCATATGAGCAATGAAAGGAATGGGTAGATACTGTTGTTGAGTGTACAACAGACTAGCACATTGCAATAAAATTGTGTTAATAGTGATATTAAGTATTACTTTTTTGTTTTTTCATGTTTATTTTAAGCGCATAGGTCTCTATCATAAGCGCTCTATAAGTCGAATATTATTATTATTATTATTATTATTATTATTATTATTATTATTATTATTATTATTAAAACAAAAATGTGTTCACTTCTGACAAACTTTGTCATTCAACATGTATAGTATTTATTTTTTATCTTGTAATTATGTATCAAGAATAAAATACTCAAATTAACCAACTTTCTGTGGGATTAACTAGAGTGGACGTGCTTGCCTTTTAATTTCAAGATTCATAATCTGAAAAAAGTTATGGAACTTGTAACGGTTTGAATGTTGGAAAGAAGTGAGCTACAGTACCTGACAGCCAACGTACTGCTTACTTGGAAATTGAAATTTCCTGATCTCTGGATCAAAGTTAATGTGATGATGCAATTTGTATTGTACATTGTATTGTACATTTTATTGGCAATATGCAGTTCTGAAGTCCATAATGTTGTATAGTGTTATTCTATTCTATAGCTAAACTTCAATACGATTATACGATTCAATGTGTTTATTAATACAGTAAGTCATAGGCATGTTACATTATCCGCATTGGACTGATGCAGGTGTTATTCTGAGGTGGAAGCTACCGGAGCCCAGCATACTGCCCACATGCACCCGGGTGTGACCGAGACGTTGTTTTCGACATCAGTGGGTGGAGCCCTTTTCTGGATACTTTATAACCGATAGCGCACATGCTTTTCAGAACTGTTTTTAGTTTAAGTACGGTAGTTTAAGTCAAAATTACTTACCGCTTGTTTTTTATTCTTTTTGCAAAGCGTATTGAGACTTTTTGCAGAATAGAAGATTGGAATTATTATTATTATCATTATTATTATTATTATTATTATTATAAACAAGTCACTCCTTGCAAAATAATTATTTTGAGTTATTAATACAGGATTGAAGAGTAAAAGGAGAGCTATAAAATGGTAGTAAAAGAATCATTTAAATCCGACATATTATAAGTTACAGAAGTTTAACATACAGCTGTTTATAAAAATATTTCAGAAATGAGCCTTCTAAGTTTAAAATTTTGGTATTGTTTTTAGGCTCTGGTATTCAAACTATCCTTTGCGAACCAAGTTAGAGGTGCAAAAATATTTTGCAGGGTCACCGTACATTTCATGCTGTCATTGACTGGTAATAGAACCTATTTATATCTTCATTTCTTTGTGTAAGTTTTTGTGTACGAAGTATCATTTCCTGAACTTGGATTTTTTCCATGAATTCATAAAACAAAATATGTTTTTTATCATATTGACCTTAATTCTTATGTTTGCTTCTTCCCGGTAGGACCAATCCGGTAGGAGTATTTTATCAAACCAAACATGAACTTCAAGGCATTATCAGTCATACAAAGTTTGTTCAACAAATGGTTTGGTATTTAAAATCTGCTATGTCATATTTAGCTGAACTAAGATTAAGAGTTTGTCGATTGGTTGATAACAGATTTAATTCTAGATCTGAGTGGGGTCACCCCTACTTCATGTTAGCCCTTGTGTTGTGTTTTGACCTTCACTTTATTTTAAAAATTATTCATGGAATGGTTATTACTTTTAGTTTCTCTAAATATATTTTCTTATAATTTTAATTTTTCTAATGGGCCGTCTATTGAGAACCAAGAAGATAGAATCTATAGGCTCCACAAATTGAATTTAAATTCAGAGAATTTAATCAAACTGTAGTTGTGTGCACTCTACCTCAAATGATCTCTCTCTGACATTTAACTTTATAAATGCACTCTGACTTTTAACTAAAAATACACAGGATGAAGATCCTACTTAATTATGCATTGAATCATGAAAGGGTGAGTAATTATAAACTGTATTTGCACTAATATCATAAAAGCTTTCAAAAAGCCAATGGCCATATGTGTATATGCCATTGTATAAGCAGTATGTATTGGTCTGCATTCTGTTGCTTACTATTACTTTTACCTTTTTAATGCATGTATCGCTTTTCTCTTAGGAACCCTAATCATATTTAGTCCTATAAGGATTTTTTTATAGTATTGGTGAATATGTTGTATTAGTGGTTTTTTAATCATTAATTATCTACATAAAGCATTTAGAAGCTTGTGCAACCATTCAACCAACAATATATAATAAAGTTCTACTCAAATTTTATTGTAAATTAATAAAATTCAATAATTAAATTCATTTTATTCAAAGAAAAATAGTAGCCATGAGGCTAAATTGCATGAAATTTTAAGAACAATAAATAATATGTAATATTTTTACTTTTTTTTAATTGTTCATAATTAAAATTTAAACACTCAACCATGGGAAACTCAAAACACAAAGGGAAATAATTACAAAATTGAATTAAAACAATTCTTTTATTTCATTTTATGTTTTACCTTAGTGACTATAATATTGAATCCACCATGATTATGGCCCGGGCCGCGGCATTTTGGAGGGGGCGGGGGTGGGTGGCCTTCAAACTGTTGTTTTGTGGAACCTCATAACAAAATTAATGGGTCAGGACTTAGCAAAATCATCCAATGTACTGCCAAATATATAGTGAATTCTTACCTTTTTTCGGTATCATCTATGTACTCATCAGAATCAAATGACTCATAAGAACCGCTAGCATCAGACAGTCCACCTAAAAGAATGCAGTGCATATGTAATGCTAGGGACACACTGCTTTGCATGACGGTCATACAACAAAAATTCGACCTTCGTTCTCTGTAAGCATTTGACTATGCAGCGCTGCCTGCGACAGTCTCATGAGTTGACCATCTAACAAAAATGCCAGAGACCTACTGCAATTGTACGGCAGTTGTATGGCGATTCCATCTCCGCTCTCTGTAAGCATTTGACTAAGTATCTGTATAAGTATCACCTATGGATATCGTGTCAACCAAGAGTACAGGGTCAGTGAGCACTTGGCTTTAGCACATGCCTCCATTCATTTAATAAAAAAAAAAAAATAAAAAAAAATTTTTTTTTTCTTCTGAAATTTTAATAATCTATTGATGATGATGAATAAAATAAAACAGTAACAGTAAGTAGGCAACAATGAAAAGATAATATTATTAATGATCTGACACATCTTTTTGATTGTGCCTTTCAATAGTGGAATTTTTGAAGTATTGAGAATTAAAGTGCTTCTGAATATGGAACTAGATTTTGGCATGTTATACAAATATTGAATTGGATTTGGGTTGGAAGTCATATAAATTACTGTAAACCAAGTTTTAAAATGTATAAATATGCAATATGAATATAACAAATATACTGTATAATTTAAAAACTAACCATTTGCGCCATCCTGTTTATCCTCTGGGTCCTCATAGACGTCATCGTCCTCAATGACACGGCCCTGATGGTTGGTGTTTTCATAGTCACCTGGCTCTTCATAAACTTCCCCATCATCATCAATAGCGCGACTTGGCGAGCCAATATTTTCCGAAACCAAGGGCACTTCGTATTCTTCTTGGTCACTGTCAGGTGAACTATATGATTTTTCCTTAAGAATATCATCTTCATTGATAGGTGTTTCATAAATATCATCTGTCCTGTATTGTTAAGAAAGATGAGATTGTAGAGAATGCATACATTATACAAGATTCTCATGCACTGGTCCAAGACGTCATAACTCATGGTTATATCTGTCTCTTATACACATCTAGATGTGTATAAGAGACAGATTTTAAAAATAAACATTTGAGTATGCAGCGCTGCCTGCAACAATCTCATCAGTTGACCTAACAAAAATGCCAGGGACCCACTGCAATTGTACAGCGGTCGTATTGCGATTCCATCTCCGCTCTCTGTAAGCATTTGACTAAGTATTTCTGCCAGCTGATTGTTGTTGGCAGTCTTAAGTAGAACGCCAACAAAAAATGATCTGTTCATGTGCATAGCGCGCGTTGCATCACCTATGGATCTGTCTCTTATACACATCTAGATGTGTATAAGAGACAGATACTGCCCATTCATTTAAATTAAAAAAAAAAAAAAAAAAAAAATTTTTCTCCTGAAATTTTAATAATCTATTGATGATGATGAATAAAATAAAACAGTAACAGTAATTAGGCAACAATGAAAAGGCAGATAATATTATTAATGATCTGACACATCTTTTTGATTGTGCCTTTCAATAGTGGAATTTTTTAAGTATTGAGAATTAAAGCACTTCTGAATATGGAACTAGATTTTGGCATGTTATACAAATATTTAATTGGATTGGGTTGGAAGTCATATAAATTACTGTAAACCAAGTTTTAAAATGTATAAATATGCAATATGAATATAACAAATATACTGTATAATTTAAAAACTAACCATTTGCGCCATCCTGTTTATCCTCTGGGTCCTCATAGACGTCATCGTCCTCAATGACACGGCCCTGATGGTTGGTGTTTTCATAGTCACCTGGCTCTTCATAAACTTCCCCATCATCATCAATAGCGCGACTTGGCGAGCCAATATTTTCCGAAACCAAGGGCACTTCGTATTCTTCTTGGTCACTGTCAGGTGAACTATATGATTTTTCCTTAAGAATATCATCTTCATTGATAGGTGTTTCATAAATATCATCTGTCCTGTATTGTTAAGAAAGATGAGATTGTAGAGAATGCATACATTATACAAGATTCTCATGCACTGGTCCAAGACGTCATAACTCATGGTTATATTATGGTGCAAATTTAAAATCATAACTCATGGTTATACTATGGTTCAAATTTAAAATAATTGCATGGTTTATACCAGACCATGTACAGTAGTTCATGAATTTACTTTATTACAACTTTACAAATGGAGACAAAAATATCAATCGCAAATCCATAATTACAGTATAGGAATGGTAGGCCTATATACACTACAACATACAAGATTCTGCCATGCACTAGACAATAAAATTAAAATGCATCCATTGAGCCGCCAATGACTACTGGCAACCCATCTGCCTTAGTGGCCTTCGGGTGGGAGGGTGGATGGTTACCAAGCAGCAATAAAAAAAATAGCTGAACAAAGAGGAAAAGCTCGTCGGGGCCAATGGCCAAACCATGCTTAGTTTAAGGAGGAAGATTAGTTTGTCTTTAAGGTTTGGTTAAGTATTACTTTCTTGGCAATATGTGCTCTATAAGTTGACCATTATTATTATAATATTCTTAGTATGCAAAATATTTTAAATCAATTTATTTTTAATTAGAATAGATGATGAGCTGTATCTTGGTTGTTTCTAATTTAGGGTCTTATGGCTCAAGAACAGGATTTTTTTCTCACAATTAAACACAATTTCACACCAGGTTTCACACCAGATGAAGGTCAGTTTATGAAGAGGCTCTTGTGAGGCTTATGAATAGGACTGAACTCAGTAAGTTCACTATTAGAAGTACTTGAACTTATACCTAAATGATGATTTAACAATTACTTTAATCATTCAATGTGAGCAATTTAAATATTTAATTTCATTCTTATATAATTATTTATTATTTTATTTATTGAAGTTTATTTACTGGACAGAGATACAGTAGTGGCCAACATCACTAGAAGTATTTGAACTTAGACTACCTAAATTATGAATAACAATTACTTAATTATCCAACGTAAATTAAAATACTGAAATTTCTTCTTCTATATTTTTATTTCTTAAATTTTATTTATTAATTAACCTTTGACCCTTTAAAATTCATATCTGTACTTACTGTATGACTTTTGGCTTCCCAATCTTCTTAGATGGAATCTAGATTAAAATAAACATGAACATTTATTGTGGTGGTGTTATGATGATGATGGTTTTATTTTTCATGCATTTAAACCACAGGATTAAACTTAATCAATTCATTCATATTATACATTTCTATTGTCAATTCTATGTATAGATCAAATAAAGAGAAGTACAGAAGTATAAGAATAGAGTTTAATGTACTAATGCGTCAATGTTGGTTACATTTGTACATCAGTAGAAGGATGTCATGCCTGATATGAACTGAACATGTCAAAAATTATATTATGCTAACGACGAATCTCAAGGACCAAAATGCTACTTGACAGCGTATGTGGAGAAGATGAACGGCAGTAAAAGCAGGCTAAACTGCATCGTATATATGCTTTTATCACATATACATCCCCCTAGGGACAACTACAAATCTACACCATCCTTATAGTTAAAGTAACAGTTAAAGATTGAAGTAAAGATTAACTTCTGCTATTTTTATTTTAAATGGCAGACAAAAGAACATATGACCCAGAAATAGTCTTGTTAATGATATGTTTAAATTATTACTTTACATTTGCATAATGCCATGATAGATTCCTCTGAGCCGCTAGCTCCTCCACAGACAGCATGTCATTGCTTCCATTTTCTGTAAAAATGAAAACAAAAACAGGAATAAGATAATCATCTACATAGTGAATGTTATCTACTGCAGAGGTATCTTGTCACTTGATCAACTTCATCATAAGATGCGAGTTTAAAAAAAAAATACATAGTAGAGTTTGATTTACTACAAAGTTATGACTTGGTGGATAAAGTACCCACTATTCCAGCTGAGGGTACTTGGTTCTAACCTTGAAAATTCCAAGTTTTTCTTCTGAGAAAATTATATTTTTTGAATTAAACAAAATAATACTGTTAATGATAACAAAAAATAATAATAAGATCAAATAAAAATAATAATAATAAATAATAATAATAATAATAATAATAATAATACTATAATATAATAATTTAAATTTTAATTACGCTTATTTCAAAGCATACAATCACAACAGAAGAAAAAATTCAACCGTGGTCTTCAGATAACGTCTACCGGTCTATAAAAAGACTGTAACAACATAGATCAAGGAAATCTCCATCTCATAAAGTGAATATAAACCAAATGTCAGCTTAATTGAGAAAAGAAATACATGTACAAGTAATGACTTTTACAGTCGTTTTTCATCAGATTAGCTGTTTCACAATCACGCCTGCCCGATGGCGAGTTTATGATATGGTTTTATATGGAATGCCATAAGAGCAACATTATGTGTACGTATACTTCCGCATCTGGGTTTTATATACAAACACCAAAAGGGCAACTTTCAAACACAGTCAATTTTCAAACACATCAGTTTTCATCCACGGTCGGTTAACAAACAGTCAATTTTGACAAGCAAAGTCGATTATCGGCTTCTCAATGAGTTACTTTACTTTAGATTGTCCTGACTAATGCTGTCATCTTCATTTAAGTGGTTTCTAAATATTTTATGTTATGAAAAATGATATGAAACTGCTATCAAAACCTGTACCTAAACTACCACTAAATTTCTTAGTATTATGTAAATGAAATAAATGAGCGAGATAACGTGCATGCCTACAGTATCTTCTTTTAGTGGTCCTATAGTTGGTTTTATCAAAACTAATTGCGAAGTTCAGGTACTAGGGGGTAAGGAAAAATCATACAAAACTGATATCAAAACCTGTACCTGAACTAAAACTGCGTTTCTGACATTATATAAGGGAAATAACTGTGCGAGATAACATGAATCATGCATTCTATCTTCTTTTAGTGGTCCTATTGTTCTTTTTATCAAAACCATTCATGACATTCACAAACTAGAAGGTAAGTGAGCACATCCTCTAGTAAAAATACAATAGTAATAATAATAATAATAATAATAAGTGATATTAATATTAATAGTAACAATTACATCAATAATAATAATTACAAATTAGGATTCCACAATGAGAAAATTCAAAAATATAAACTAAGACCAACAGGGCTGGAAAAAGTACGCGACGGCCATGCGACCGAAGGCATCATTAATGTCCCGGAGCCATTTTTGGGGAGAAATTAAAAAAAATAAACTGTTAGGCTATAAACAAAAATTTTTCCAGGCCTGCAGACTAAAAAGTATACTAATTGCCTTTTACAAACATATGGACTGGATTGGAATGAGTTTGTCATTTAAATTGTGTCAAATACAAGGATGTAGTATAGTAAGTATGAATATTGTAGATTATCTACTTCTAGTTTCAAATCTAAAAGTTAAAACTGAAAATAAAAATATGTATTTATTTATATAATCTTTTAATACTATGTATTGAATTTTGATGTGATTGATAATAAATGTTTTTTTGATTCATTTGTTAAATTAACAATACATATTATTAATAATTACTGGTATTATTAATAATATTACAGTTCTTGTATTCTTGTCGATCTTATATTCTCACCTTTTAATAAATTGTTACTAAACAAAACTGATTCTTATAAATGTTTTTGTTCGCATGGCACAACTTCATATAAAGTGTTTATAATGCATCATAGTTTTGTTTCTTTAAATATGTGAAGGAAACTGAAATATTTAATGAAGAAAACCTTGAGTTAGAAGGAGGCCCACTTTAGTATGGCGCTTAAAAAAGGAACGACGTTTCGACTCTATCTTGAAGTCATTCTCAAGTGCGAGTAAGATAATAATACAAAATCAGACTTAAAAGAATGACAGGGTACAGTCGAGTATGAGCCTACCTCCAAGTTGGGATTACTTGATAAAATATATTTATTTTAAATCCTATTTATAGGGCTACCAAGAAACCTAATCACAAATACAGCTCCACCCATTTTGTTCCTTACCTTTGTCAACTGCAGTTGGTGTTGTTACTTTAGAAGGGTTGGATGCGGGAAGTGGCGGGGGAGGCAAATCCGGCAACTTTGGTTTATCTGGATTTTGGCCTACTTCTGTAGTGTGTTCAGCGATGTATGAATCAAGTCGTTTCAGGTATGTACTTAAGGTCTCCTGTAGGTCACTTGATAAT